CTGAACTGTGCAAGTGTAGTATTGCTTTACTGTGATACAAAGACATTATATTAAACACTGCATGACAATATTTTCAAGTTAATACCACTATCTTATGTATTATTATTTATTTATTAATATATGCTTGCATTACTTCAAGTAGCCACATAAACCCACTAAATATCCATGTAGGTTATATTTCAACTATTAAAAGTTTAATGAAAGTGTGTAATAATTTGTTCATTTTAAATTCAAATAAATTAAAAAGGTTATTCAAAATTTGTTTAGCCACACATTACAGAACACAGTAACTTATACAGCGGTCACCATACTGTTCTATTGGGTTTCCCGGTATAAAATGTGTTGCCTCTTTCAATATGAAATATTTGTCACACCATGCAGAAAATAAGACTTCATACTTGGAGAGCTCACTGTATGTACCAGAAGATTCAAAAGCACTATTTTGCATTTAAAGGCATATTATAGATTTAAACAAACACATTTTCTCTCAACTGGCTTCCCATGCATTACACATCACATTAACTAAAACCTCTTCTACAGACATACTGTTAAGAAGTCACTGACTATATTTTCATTTAAAAGTGTATTTGAACTAACTTGACTGAAATTAAAAAACTTTATGATGTGGGAAACCAACATTTTTTCAACAACGGACAGTTTTTTGGACCATTCATCGTCCAATTTCCAGAAGAGAAAAAAAAAATTGTCCAATTTCCAAAAGAGAAAAAAAAATAGAATTTTTTCAGGGTTAAGTCTCCAAGAGGAATATTTTTGTTTACCAGTTTCTATAAATTTTGTTGTTTAAGTTTCCTGGACACATGTGTGCCTTATTTTTGGAAAAAATTGTAGAAATCAACAACATTCTGAGGTTGTTTCAATAACAGGAATACATTTTGTATTTACAATTTTTCACAACATGACTTTGTTTTACTTACTTGCACACTCTTGAAGCTAATCTTTGAACCATGAAAATCAATAACTTTCCTAGAATTATCTCTCCAAGAGGATATTTCTTTTGTAAATAACATTTCTTTCTACAACTTGCTGCTCTGGAGAAATATGCCACCGAATTAGTTTTTATGACACCCTTTCCAACAGGAAGATGTTTTACATTCATAATTTTTTCTATGACGAAGCACTGTGTAGCTCATTTGACGTCCCTGTGGATATGTTCAAAGCAGAGAAAGCAATAATTTTCCTAGGGCTGTTATTTCAGGTAGAAAATTTCTGGTATTTATTATTCATGATGCAACATTTTGGAGAAATGAATAATTGTACACTTTTCAGACTCTCCCGTGACAAATATTATAAGCAAAAATGTATGACTTTCTCATGATAGTTTCTAAGAGGCACATTTCTTGTACATACAATTTTTTTAACACATTTTGGGAGAAAGGCCCCGCTGTAAAAGTTTTTGGATATCCCTGTGTTTTTGAAATAAGTAAAAGTGTATATTTTTCTCACGAATATCTCTGCAAGAGCTAAATTTTTTGCATTTGCCATTTTCTACAATGTGCTATTTGGGAGAATCTGGAAACAGTGTTATGATTTAAGTGAACAATTAAAGTTAACTCCATTCTTCCAAAATGTTGATCAAATTTCACCAGTATAATTTGCTTTGGGTTTCTTGTTCAAATTCAATTTAGTTAGCAGCTTTGTGGTTCTTTTCATTTTTTTTTAAAAAACAACAGAAATTTTGAGCTTAGGTACTGTTTGTACATTTCAAAACATGTTCATTCTTTCAACAGTTCCAAATTCTAGAAACTAATTTCTATAAATATAGCCAACATTCACTCTGTTGATGAATAATTGACAATATTATCACAAACCATGTACAATAGTGAAACAATTTAAATATAATTCAGTCCTAACAAAGACAAATAAAAACAACACTCAACACATATAAAACTATCTATCACAGAAATGTTCTATAAATTAGATTTAGAATATAGTGATGTCATTATATAATGTGTTAAGTTTGATCCTTGATAATTATGCTGTATACACATGTACATACCATTTCCCATAAACTGATATATTATACACAAATTAATCTTTCTGTAGTTTTGTAGAGTTTGCGACATAAGCAGTGGCCTATACACACATAAAAAGAGAGAGAGAGAGAGAGAGAGAGAGAGAGAGAAAAGAAAGAATTGAACAAAATCAAAGAAAATAAAACGTGGATCAAGTCACATTTCATAATTGAAATTTTAACTGCACCTGGATTTCTGGCTTTTCAAGTTAAACATCAATGTTCATAATAGGAATAAAAATGTACTCTGATACTGTTCATAAAAATAACTAATCCTTCTCATGCTACCCTTAAGTCCCACAGTTAAAGAAAATAATTACAGTGTACTGTATTTTGCTTGTCACTAAATATTAAATGTAAAAAATTAGCGAACCCAGATTTTTATAACATGGGCCAGTAATTTAAATATACATTTTTGTCAGTGTGATTCCAATGCAGATCTTTCAAAAAGTGGGCTGCAAAATCAAAAGGCATGAAAACTCCTGTCTATATCTCTTTCTGAAAGTCTTTTTGTTTACATTGTATGTATTAAAACAGGTAAAAAGATTATTCATGCCATTCAGCAAAGCACTACAGCTAATTTACAAAATACTGCCAATTTGTTTTGAGTTGAAACACCCCCACTGACATACCCTCGTACATTCTAATCTCATATCAGTGTTCAGATACAATGTAGCAGTAAAGAAACACAAACACCTCTTACAGAGATTCAACAGTCTTAACTGACATAACATTCATGCGACAGATTTTTACATAACGTTACATTAGATATCAGTACAAACTGATGAAGCACATTCTTCCATATTAATATGGCATAGATACTTATAGATCAGTATTGTTCAGTTTTCATTCACGCTTTCATGCAGTGTGCACCGACATTTATTTCTGTTCTTAGTTGACGACAATGTTATGGTGAAGAGGTTCGTTAACATTTCAGAAAACCTGTCCGTCTTCAGAGCAGCCTGGCACTGACCCCGTTGCCACATGACCTGGAAGTATTAATACTGGTACCAGACAAACAACTTAAACTTCATTATCCAGACAGCAAGGTTCTCTAAAATACTGGCAACAAGCCTACCACACCATCCATGACCAGAAACAATTTTGTCTATTAGAAGTTTCTAGTCATTTCAGACAGGAGTGTAATAATTTTTGGTACCTGCTAAAATGTAGTTTAGAATAAAATAATTTATCTTATTTCATCATCTGTTCATGTCAATATTAGACAGATAGCATATAGTTCCATCAAAAATTAAACTGCATACTGTTGCATTATCTTAACGACAAATTAAAAATTTACTTCCAGTTCTCCGCACAGTGGCAAAGCCCTGTATGGGAGGAGCAAATCAACAGTAATGTGTCTGACTTAAGTAGTAAAGGTTAAAGAAATATTACAAAGATTACAATTAAATAACATCCTCAGTTTAGCTGCTGTTTCATTCTTGGGTAATTTACTGATGCTGTTTCAAATACACTGGTTATATGGTATCAAATGTGAACGTTATAATAAATTCTGAATGAATAAAGATTTGGCATGATGAACAGGTGCTGTAACTGAATATATTATCATAGAATTTACTGGAAAACCAAACTTCATTCAGGGCAGCTGTTTCCTTGACCAAGATTCAAACCAAGTATCTCTCAAAGACAGGTGCATTGCTACTATTATTACCTATTCAGCGCTGATGTAAACTTTGAATTCTGCTACCAGACAATTAATATTGTAATGATGATGATGATGATGACAAAGAAACAATAATTTTAAATTATTTCGACAGTGGATAAACTAACTCTATGGTGCAGAGCCTTTCTTGAAAAGTTTAAAGTTGCTTCAGGCATTAGCAAACTTTTAGTCTCAGGCTGGATCTAGTTTTTGCATCATGACTGCAGGTTATATTAAATATCAAGCATGCAAGTTATAACCAAGTAAGGATTTGAGATTTTCATGGCAGTGAGTCTGAAGATAACAATCTTCTGGGTGGTAGTGCTGTGTAGTCTGGTAGAAGTTTACCAACGTTTCAGTGGTCTTTGCTGCCTCCATCATCAGGGTGATGAAGGCAGGAAAGACATCTGATAACTAACTAACTTGATGGTTTACTGAACCCGAATGTTCATCACCGAATTAACCAAAGCCCTCCATCAGACCCTGTCCTGGGCCAACAAAATCCAGTCTCCTTCAACTCCTATCTCCCATAGATTCCGCATCATTATGCAGTTTTCTCCGAGCCCCATCGTCTTCTCTCTTAGGCCTAAATATCCTCCTCAACACCAAATTCTCAAAACACCTGCAATCTGTGTTCCTCCCTCTGAGTGAGAGACCATGTTTCGCACCCATATAAAACAACAGGCCAAAGACATCTGATATGTAGGCATATTTCTACCAGACAACACAGCGGTACAACCCAGAAAACAGCCACATAAGTTATAACCAGTTGTAAAAATTATGTCTGAAATTGAGACTACTGCAATGCTTAACTAAAAATATTATTCTGTCAATATTAAAGTCATGAACACCTTGATATTTTACGCATAAAATAGATTACAGTTGTGAATTAAATAATGTGTTAAAGAATCTGTAAAACTTCACATGAGCCAGAAGAAAAGTGATGGTAAATCCTTGGTTTTCTCATATAAAAGTACAGGCATTTCACTATTGTTCCAGCATCATTCCTGGATACTTGACACAAGTTAGCCTGAAAATCCCCAGACTGTCCAAGTGAAAACTGGACATGTGGCAGCTTTCAGGCAGATATGTTTATTTGAAAAAGCTGTAGCTGGTACATCTTGACAGACAAGCTGCCAAAGAAACACACTTAAAATTCCTGAGATGAGCTGTCATTTGAACTGTGTGATATTACAGTCCCTTCAACTTCGTATCCAAATTATAAATGTTAGATAAATCCTCTCAACTGATTATGTGTGTTAAAAGTAGTTACAACATTGAAAACTTCAATTAAAGCACTAGAGCTGAATCTAATAAGATAATGTTTATGTTCTCAAACAGGTACATGAAAAATACATAATAAAGCAAAGATTTCAGCCTTCATTTTGAGACGTGTGCCACTGACATATCCCGCCAGAAGGTCAGTAGTTATCTAGCCTATGAGTGCACATCAATCTCTCGCTAAAAATCAAAATGGTAAGGCCACACAGCAACAGCACTGTAATAAATCCCTTTCTAGCCATCTAGCCATTCTGTTATCGACAGGCATAACCCACGCTAGTGACAAGTGATTTTTTGGGTTGACTGACATCAGCCAGAGGGGGTTTGAGGAGAATACAACAAGATGATATCACCTGCCGTCGAAATGACTGAGCTAATATAATGACATCCAGACGCACTTCATCAAATTCACTCCATGATAAGTTCTTAATAACGACATTCAATTCACACAGAAAGATTGTCGCTTCTTTGATTACAAATTAAAGGCTATAGATGGTTAATAAATGCTAAAGTTGATACACGGTTCAGTTTCGGGTCCTAAAATACAATTTACAAAACCAAACACTCTGGTACAATTGTGATTTCTTAAAATTAATACTGAAACGTACATTGTAATACAACTAACTAGGCCAAACACAGGAAGTGACCCTTATCCACACACAAAAACAAGTGGAAAACATCAATTCAGAAAGTGGTGTTTTTCTACATGGTAGTAAAAATTTGTTTCTATAGAACTCAATTTTCTCTTTTCAGTTTAATATGCGAGATTTCCTATAAAAACTATGCATAGATTAATCAAACGATAACCCAAAGGACAAGAAATAGTACACATATGCAGAAGGGTTAAAAAGATTGTTTGAAAATGTAAGTATGTTGCGACGGAAGCTAAGCATAATATGACAAAGCATATCGATTACAGATGACTTAACAGTGAACATAATTGCATTATTTTTAAAGTTTTTAAATCAAATAATATGTAATATTGAAGAAAGTATGCAAAAAAAAATTGTTTTACTTACCATAAGAATAAACACAACATTTTTATGTCGGCAAATTAATATAATACTATAATAAACTTTATGATGCTTTTGACAATCTATTTGTGAATTCTTATTTAATCATAATAGTTTATAACATTTAAATGAAGTGAATAATGACCACTTCTAAAACACAAAGTAACAGCAGTTTCCATCATACATTCATTTTATTGAACTACAAACGGTAACTTAAACATTATGTCAGAAAATAATGGGAAATACTTTGGAATGTTATAACCTTGTGACCCCACCCAGTCCTGCTTCACCACGTAAATCAATATTAATTTTATAGGATCCACACAAAATTTACAGGTACAACAACAAAAAAATTCAAACATAAACACATAATTTCAAATGGTGTAAAAATAATGGAACAGTATTATTTTTGAAATCTAATTAACATTACAAAAACGTGTTTCATAAAATTATACAGCTGGTGACAACATGTGTGTGTATCAGTGACACAAACATTGTAACATCGTGAAAATGTGTATGAACACAGACCTGCTGTGATTTATTTATGGCCATAAATACATATGAAACACGCTTCCTTTTCAAAGCGCTACAGTGGCCGGAAAATGCTGGATACTCTGTCTGATTATAGTGATTTACATAAAATGCTATAAATGCACACAAGGACAAAGTGAATGCATTTTATGCTGAGACAGTTATAGTCATGGAACACTTTCTCCATACAAAAACTGACAAATTCTTGTCTTCAGGTTGGTGTTTGAGGTGAGCTGTGTGTCCGTAAGGTGTGCGTTGGTCATTGGACTTGAGAATTTCCCACTGAGAAACCATTCGTTGATTGCTGCCCATTCATATGTAAAGCCATCTGTGACAAAGTTCCAGTAAGATATTAAATACGCTGATAAAAAAAAAAAGAATGGAGGAATTTGGTCTTGACAAATCAAAGCTCTGATATTATTTCTGACAAATTTAATGTAGTCATGTAAGACTTGAGGTTCTCACAGCGGTGGTCACACTGTTGGAAATTATGCACAGAAATGGATCACTAAAGTGTATAATTATTAATTTATAATTCTTACTACTCTCATTTTATAAAAAGGACTTTGTTCAGAAGTACTAGTACTACTTGAGTTCTTTACCTGAGCAGATGACTGGGTCATGCATGATCTCATGCGTGATAGGACATAGGAACTCGTGTGGTATGTCCGTATCTACAGGAACCTCAGGAATCCCTTTATCTTCATTCCGTAGCCAGTACAGGTGGACATTCAGTTTCTTTCGGTCCTCTTCATTGTCTGCGTTGTAAACATATGTACATTACTAAAAAGACTAATGAAAGGAATTAAAAACCCAAGTAAGGACTCCAAGTCAAATTATAACCACGTACCTCACTGAAAAGCATTACTGTTATGAAAAACTGTTCAGTTCTTGAAAAACCATGATTTCACATCACCACAGCTGCAGAAATAACTTCAAAATAGTTGATAAATTTGGTTAAAAGGTGGGAAAATACTGTGTATATCACTATTCAAAGATTAAATATACATGTAATAATAAAACCGTCTAAGTTTACTTATAGTCAATGGACAAAACAACATTTTTTTTTATAAAGCAACATTTGAGAAGAAGAGGGTAGGGGAGATTGATCGTCTTGGACTTTCTACACTCCATTTTACAATGCAGTGTCAAATAATCTTCAGTTGTTCAAAAGAAAACTGTCATAACAAGAGTAATATACAATGTACCAAGTTTTTTTGTGCCTAATTTTCAAAATACGAAAAATCATTTTTATGGGGTTCTAAGAGGAATATTCTTTACAGTCACAATTTCTTCAGAACATCTGATTTTTAGATTTTTTAGGAAAACCCTTTGAATTTTTTATAATACAAAATTTCAATGGTTGCAGAACCCATTTTAATACACCACTGTACACTTACGTGCTTAATTTTTAAACAGACAAAAATCAGTAATTTTTCTACAATTGTGTCACCAAGAGGAATACCTTTTGTATTTACCATCTGCTGTTTTATAACTTTCTGGGTCACACTGTGCCTAATTTTTGACAAGGAAAAGACTGACCGATACTTTTCTGGGGATTGTCTCTCCAAGAGAAATATTTCTTAAATTTACCATATTTTTTGCAACACGCTGTTTGAGGGAAACAGGGTGTGATGTATGGACAGATCTTGGCCATTATATAGGTATGAGTAGAAACGTGTACTGCAATGGAGTTATTCTTGAACACGACCGAGATTGTGACAAATAATGTTGAAACATGTAGCAATACCAACAGCACTAAGTACTAAAATTGAGTAAGATTTAAATACATTGTTAGTACCTAAAGCAGCCTGTACTTCAACAGACCCAGCATGATGAAATACGTCAAGCCTTCCTTGTCACTGGACTAAAAAGGGTTAGATGACAGAGATTAAACAGAGTAAGCTACTGACCTATCTGAAGAATGTCAAGGATCTCATCACAGGACAGAGTAAGAAGCTGTCCTCCACTGAGATTTGCCTCTCTCACTCGTTCTGCAACTTCAACCATCTCCAAGTCTTTCAACCAGCACCTGACATCCTCCGCACTCCAGTCTAGCAGCTGAGAACATGTGATTAGCGTAAATACAGTGCACAACAAGCGTCTCTCATTTACTAACTCTTTGGCTCTACGGCCCTTGGCCACCTCACACAAGGGAGATTTCTTAGGCTATTAAACATCTGGTAGGACTTCTTGGACGAGGGATCGGCCCGTCGCAAGGCCTTTACCTACAAGAGGAAAAGTGATGTTTTGCAGGTCCTACACAAATAACTATTACTGTTGATATTTACAGAATTTCAGTAAATATCTTCTTTAAAAATCTGCAGTCTCTTTATAATCAAGTAACTGGTATTTCAAGATATATATGTAAAATCTCAATCAATATTTTATTTTAAAATATGCAAGTTCTTCATAAGGAGGCAAATGGTATTTGAGATACTTGGAAAAATCAGTATATATTTTCCTAAGAAATTTTCCAACATCTTCCTGTTCAAATACCTGACAACTTAGGTGAACATTCTTCACTGGCTCTAGGAGCAGAGCATTAGACACAGATCATGCCTGTAACTTTAATGACATACAAGACAACAGACACCACAAACTCAGTTTTCTTTATAAAATACGGGCACATGACATAGGTTTTACTGCACCTACCCGCTTACTACGGCTCCTAAGTCTAGAGGCTGCAACGGTTGTGAACACCAATTGTTGTGGCAACTCCCACACCAGCAGCGTTCCATCCAAGGAACCTGTAAATAGTAAATATTGCTCACAATTCAAGTCGGTTCATGATATCTGTACACGCATGCAAGCATTGTCATCAGCGTTCCTGTACACCATTGCTACGACAGGTTGAGAGCATGTCTCTGCGGAACTACGGTCACCAAGAGGCCCGATGTCCCCCCCTCGATTAAAACTTGAATAAAAATAGGGAAGTTGTGTGGAATAATATTGATCGGGAAAACCGAAGGACTTTAAGAAAAACCTGTCAACTGCCAATCTGTCTACAAATCCCACACAGACAGACGTGGGCACTACATGCGCCTCTACAGTGAGAAACCACTACCATCTGTGCTACAGCATGGCCATTCTGTACACCACACTCAGACAAATGTTCCCTCCTTTGTTATCTTCTACCACATCTCTCACCATCAATCAATATGATTTTGTTTCAGAGAAAACTAATTTCAGATGTAAAATATAAGCCATGTGGGGTAAGAGAATAAGGTAACACAGAGAGTAAACCAAATTTTAATTCTCTAAGGTTTGTATTGTAGAAATGGTTAATTCATTATAGAACTGCTACAAATTGTGGTCCAAAATCCTTCGTAACTCCTTTGGAATCTTCGTGCAGGTACACGACCCGTAAGTTAAGAACCAGGAGATATGTAACGATGTTTTTTCAAGAAATTTGCTATGCTTTTTCAAACAACAAAGCAATGGGTGATGCTGAAACGGAAAAATGACTACACACTATAATCAGTGATCACAGCGTTTTTCAGTAGAACTGGTGACCAAGTCAAATTCTGCTTTCTGTGAGTAATCAATCAACACAACGCAGGTCTATTGATAAGCAGCGGCCACAGTGTACATGATTGGTGGAGGCCTTAGCCACCAATTCTACTGAACAACACTTCAGTGTCTTGCTTTCAATTGACATACCTGTGGCAAGAAGGGCTGAATCACCAGAAAAGGCACAAGCTGTCACCATGCTGTCATCGCTTTCCAACACATGGACACATTCACCAGAGTACTGTGTGTAGAACACAATGAAACGTAATAACATACACTCTACAAATTAAAAACACCAATTATAAAACTTATAGATTCTGTAACACCAAGACGTCAACTGGAGGATTTGAGACAACATATGAGAGATCAATTAGAAAACCATTAACTTCCTAAAATAATGTGCATATAACTTTTGATGCAAACAGTCACTTAATAATATATTACTTACCACATTCCACAGCCTGATTGTCTTGTCAGTTGCTGTGGATGCCAAAATCTCACCAGTGACGGGGGTAAAGCGTACACACATCACATTACCACCGTGTCCCGTCAACTGACGCCACAAAACACAATCTGCTGTAAAGTCATCCTCAGATGGAAATGCTGATATGTACCACAACTTTACAAGCGAGTCATTGCCACATGTTGCCAGCAAATAGTGGGGTCTCTGACCGCTACCATGTTTTGCTGCAATCATACAACGAAGTATCGCGATTCAACGCACTATTACGAAGCAGTCTGCCGACACAATGTGATTTCCTAAGTCCTGATAAGTGAATGCCAGACAGCACTTTGAAACAGCTTGCAAATGCTTTCTGCACCAATCACACACACATCATTTAATCATAAACGGCACTAAACATTATCTGCAGTTGACAGAGGTTTGTTAAGCAGCAACCAAAAACTGCTTTCTCAGCTATGTGCATGTGGTAGCATTGTTCGTGAAAATCAGGTATTAGTGTGCGCAATAACCCAGAAGACAGAAATCTTCAGACTCATCGCCCTGATGACGGAGGCAGTATGACCTCTGAAACGTTGGTTAACATCGACCAGACTACACAGCACAATAACCCAGAAGACAGAAATCTTAATGTAGTCACACTGTTGGAAATTATGCACAGAAATGGATCACTAAAGTGTATAATTATTAATTTATAATTCTTACTACTCTCATTTTATAAAAAGGACTTTGTTCAGAAGTACTAGTACTACTTGAGTTCTTTACCTGAGCAGATGACTGGGTCATGCATGATCTCATGCGTGATAGGACATAGGAACTCGTGTGGTATGTCCGTATCTACAGGAACCTCAGGAATCCCTTTATCTTCATTCCGTAGCCAGTACAGGTGGACATTCAGTTTCTTTCGGTCCTCTTCATTGTCTGCGTTGTAAACATATGTACATTACTAAAAAGACTAATGAAAGGAATTAAAAACCCAAGTAAGGACTCCAAGTCAAATTATAACCACGTACCTCACTGAAAAGCATTACTGTTATGAAAAACTGTTCAGTTCTTGAAAAACCATGATTTCACATCACCACAGCTGCAGAAATAACTTCAAAATAGTTGATAAATTTGGTTAAAAGGTGGGAAAATACTGTGTATATCACTATTCAAAGATTAAATATACATGTAATAATAAAACCGTCTAAGTTTACTTATAGTCAATGGACAAAACAACATTTTTTTTTATAAAGCAACATTTGAGAAGAAGAGGGTAGGGGAGATTGATCGTCTTGGACTTTCTACACTCCATTTTACAATGCAGTGTCAAATAATCTTCAGTTGTTCAAAAGAAAACTGTCATAACAAGAGTAATATACAATGTACCAAGTTTTTTTGTGCCTAATTTTCAAAATACGAAAAATCATTTTTATGGGGTTCTAAGAGGAATATTCTTTACAGTCACAATTTCTTCAGAACATCTGATTTTTAGATTTTTTAGGAAAACCCTTTGAATTTATTTTAATACACCACTGTACACTTACGTGCTTAATTTTTAAACAGACAAAAATCAGTAATTTTTCTACAATTGTGTCACCAAGAGGAATACCTTTTGTATTTACCATCTGCTGTTTTATAACTTTCTGGGTCACACTGTGCCTAATTTTTGACAAGGAAAAGACTGACCGATACTTTTCTGGGGATTGTCTCTCCAAGAGAAATATTTCTTAAATTTACCATATTTTTTGCAACACGCTGTTTGAGGGAAACAGGGTGTGATGTATGGACAGATCTTGGCCATTATATAGGTATGAGTAGAAACGTGTACTGCAATGGAGTTATTCTTGAACACGACCGAGATTGTGACAAATAATGTTGAAACATGTAGCAATACCAACAGCACTAAGTACTAAAATTGAGTAAGATTTAAATACATTGTTAGTACCTAAAGCAGCCTGTACTTCAACAGACCCAGCATGATGAAATACGTCAAGCCTTCCTTGTCACTGGACTAAAAAGGGTTAGATGACAGAGATTAAACAGAGTAAGCTACTGACCTATCTGAAGAATGTCAAGGATCTCATCACAGGACAGAGTAAGAAGCTGTCCTCCACTGAGATTTGCCTCTCTCACTCGTTCTGCAACTTCAACCATCTCCAAGTCTTTCAACCAGCACCTGACATCCTCCGCACTCCAGTCTAGCAGCTGAGAACATGTGATTAGCGTAAATACAGTGCACAACAAGCGTCTCTCATTTACTAACTCTTTGGCTCTACGGCCCTTGGCCACCTCACACAAGGGAGATTTCTTAGGCTATTAAACATCTGGTAGGACTTCTTGGACGAGGGATCGGCCCGTCGCAAGGCCTTTACCTACAAGAGGAAAAGTGATGTTTTGCAGGTCCTACACAAATAACTATTACTGTTGATATTTACAGAATTTCAGTAAATATCTTCTTTAAAAATCTGCAGTCTCTTTATAATCAAGTAACTGGTATTTCAAGATATATATGTAAAATCTCAATCAATATTTTATTTTAAAATATGCAAGTTCTTCATAAGGAGGCAAATGGTATTTGAGATACTTGGAAAAATCAGTATATATTTTCCTAAGAAATTTTCCAACATCTTCCTGTTCAAATACCTGACAACTTAGGTGAACATTCTTCACTGGCTCTAGGAGCAGAGCATTAGACACAGATCATGCCTGTAACTTTAATGACATACAAGACAACAGACACCACAAACTCAGTTTTCTTTATAAAATACGGGCACATGACATAGGTTTTACTGCACCTACCCGCTTACTACGGCTCCTAAGTCTAGAGGCTGCAACGGTTGTGAACACCAATTGTTGTGGCAACTCCCACACCAGCAGCGTTCCATCCAAGGAACCTGTAAATAGTAAATATTGCTCACAATTCAAGTCGGTTCATGATATCTGTACACGCATGCAAGCATTGTCATCAGCGTTCCTGTACACCATTGCTACGACAGGTTGAGAGCATGTCTCTGCGGAACTACGGTCACCAAGAGGCCCGATGTCCCCCCCTCGATTAAAACTTGAATAAAAATAGGGAAGTTGTGTGGAATAATATTGATCGGGAAAACCGAAGGACTTTAAGAAAAACCTGTCAACTGCCAATCTGTCTACAAATCCCACACAGACAGACGTGGGCACTACATGCGCCTCTACAGTGAGAAACCACTACCATCTGTGCTACAGCATGGCCATTCTGTACACCACACTCAGACAAATGTTCCCTCCTTTGTTATCTTCTACCACATCTCTCACCATCAATCAATATGATTTTGTTTCAGAGAAAACTAATTTCAGATGTAAAATATAAGCCATGTGGGGTAAGAGAATAAGGTAACACAGAGAGTAAACCAAATTTTAATTCTCTAAGGTTTGTATTGTAGAAATGGTTAATTCATTATAGAACTGCTACAAATTGTGGTCCAAAATCCTTCGTAACTCCTTTGGAATCTTCGTGCAGGTACACGACCCGTAAGTTAAGAACCAGGAGATATGTAACGATGTTTTTTCAAGAAATTTGCTATGCTTTTTCAAACAACAAAGCAATGGGTGATGCTGAAACGGAAAAATGACTACACACTATAATCAGTGATCACAGCGTTTTTCAGTAGAACTGGTGACCAAGTCAAATTCTGCTTTCTGTGAGTAATCAATCAACACAACGCAGGTCTATTGATAAGCAGCGGCCACAGTGTACATGATTGGTGGAGGCCTTAGCCACCAATTCTACTGAACAACACTTCAGTGTCTTGCTTTCAATTGACATACCTGTGGCAAGAAGGGCTGAATCACCAGAAAAGGCACAAGCTGTCACCATGCTGTCATCGCTTTCCAACACATGGACACATTCACCAGAGTACTGCGTGTAGAACACAATGAAACGTAATAACATACACTGTACAAATTAAAAAAAAAACATTTATAAAACTTATGGATTCTGTAACACCAAGACGACAACTGGAGGATTTGAGACAACATATGACTACAAATTAAAAACACCAATTATAAAACTTATAGATTCTGTAACACCAAGACGTCAACTGGAGGATTTGAGACAACATATGAGAGATCAATTAGAAAACCATTAACTTCCTAAAATAATGTGCATATAACTTTTGATGCAAACAGTCACTTAATAATATATTACTTACCACATTCCACAGCCTGATTGTCTTGTCAGTTGCTGTGGATGCCAAAATCTCACCAGTGACGGGGGTAAAGCGTACACACATCACATTACCACCGTGTCCCGTCAACTGACGCCACAAAACACAATCTGCTGTAAAGTCATCCTCAGATGGAAATGCTGATATGTACCACAACTTTACAAGCGAGTCATTGCCACATGTTGCCAGCAAATAGTGGGGTCTCTGACCGCTACCATGTTTTGCTGCAATCATACAACGAAGTATCGCGATTCAACGCACTATTACGAAGCAGTCTGCCGACACAATGTGATTTCCTAAGTCCTGATAAGTGAATGCCAGACAGCACTTTGAAACAGCTTGCAAATGCTTTCTGCACCAATCACACACACATCATTTAATCATAAACGGCACTAAACATTATCTGCAGTTGACAGAGGTTTGTTAAGCAGCAACCAAAAACTGCTTTCTCAGCTATGTGCATGTGGTAGCATTGTTCGTGAAAATCAGGTATTAGTGTGGGCAAATGGATACATACATTGCAGTGCGTCTTTGAATACATTGTGTTTAAGCTAAACTGAAATGAACTCTACACATAGTTACATTGCGACTTCACTGGTAATTCTGTCATGTCCATGCGTTTACCGCACAACTTTACTGATTTATTTTCTGATCTGTAGAATAATTTATGCATTATTCATTATAACATTTATATTTTCCCACAACAAATTAATATAATCATAATCAACGCGTCCACTGCCACAACCACCATCATCAAGTATTCTCATGCTGGCGATAAATTTCATGTAAGATAAAAATGTATTTTTAAATTAATGTGGCAGAACAGCCATCTATCAATAATTACAGACCAACATGGTGGTCCAGAATTTAGCACACAATATTAGTATCTAAACAGATGTGCATTTAATCCTGAGCACTGCAGCCAACATGAAACATAAGAATCAGTGTAATGACAAATTATCTGAAGACAGGTACACAGCAAATACCTGAAACAAAGTTCAAATTAAGTAAACATGAAAGGAAGGCAATGTCCAACATAACTTTTTTTTTAGTACCATCGGGTTGGAGCCGACCCCTGGTGACATTATGAACAAGTTCCCTCTGACAGGGACCTGTTCATATGTTTCCTAGGCAGATGATCCAGAAGTGGTTTGCCATTGCCTTCTTCTGTGTGTGAATGGAGTAATTGTTGGGATGCCACGGAGGAAAACTCCGTGTTGCCTAGACCACGGCCTTGCCCAACACAAGTTATAAATTCGGGCACCGCCGGGAATCGAACCCGAGACCCCAGGATACAAGGCCAGCGTTCTAACCGTTAAAGGCGCGATTGTAATCCACATTATGATACTGAATTTTTATAACTGTACTATAGCCCAAAATGTGATGGTTATGTTTCTGAATGTGTTGCCATTGTTACCTGTTGTGCCCTCTAAGGGTGAGAAGTCACAGCTTAGCACCCCAAGATCATGAGCATCTTCCTGTGTTAGAAGGCACTGTTCGGAGCATGGAGCTACACACCACAGCTTGACGTGACCATCTGAACAGACTGTTATCAGGTACTGGCTGTCAGGTGAGAATGCTGCGGCTGCTATGGCGTCATTGTGTCCCTCAACCACCCTGCAACGATTTTAACAGTGGAAAGATGTACTCCAACGCATACCACATACACTTTGAAAATGTGCTCCTAGTGATTTTACATTCCTTGGCCCTGATGGTTCATTTTTTGCAGGTACAAATCCAGAGTTGCAAGATATTCTGCATACCATCAGAAATTATTATTATTCACATGGGAAAATAACGCAAGTAAAATGTACAGACCTTTTCTGCGTCACGTACAATATTTTTGTGGAACGAGTATTTTTTTAAGAAAAATTATCAAACTTTAATTTGATCTTGTAAAGTATGGACATTATTAACAAAAATTAAATCACCTGACAGGTTTAATTAATGTAGATTTGCATTATCAAATATAACTAAAAATTATTCAATGGTCACACAGCCACACCCTCTCCATTGTGCCTTCATTATGTAATTTGGCAAGACTTATATTGCATTGTTTTCAGGTCATATGTTTTCTGTGGTCTTGTTTGTTTCTTAATTCCAAAATTTACACCTAACATATAGTCAGTGTGCTCACAAAGTGTCACAAACAGCAATACCGTGCAGGTTTAACACACAAGTCATAAAAGTTACAGCTGACAGAAAAAAACATTCATTTGTTCCTCATTTAGTTTTCAATTTTCATTAGCATACAAAACTTTATGGCACAATAAGTGTATGTTTTCCTTCCTGATGAAAGAAATTATTTTTTCCTCTGGTAGGTAAACTAATTAAAATGATGGAAGTTAAGATGGTCATGGACATGAGGAAAATTCATACAAAATTTGGGAGAAAAAATATCATGAAAGAAGGCAGTAAAAAAATATTTAAACATATCTTAGGGAAATATGTTGTGGTGATATGAACTCAAGTGACATACGTTAGACTAGGTCCTGAGGCAGGTTTCACAAACAGGAATGAAGAATATTCACATTTTATACCAGGAAGTTAGTTGCTTAGTTATTTTGTTACTTTATGTAGCTCTGTTACGTACAATAGTTGTTCCATTGTCCTAGTGCTCCAAACATATGCCTTCTCATCATCTCCCGCTGTTACCAACAGATGGCCATCAGGAGAAAATCGGCACGTTCGAACACCAGATCCACTGACCTGGAAGCTTGGCCTTCCTCGTCTACCACTCTGTAAGAACGTACGAATGTCTTTCAATGCACCAGAAATGATAATCAGAACTCATTAACACAAAATGTGAAAACTCGGCAATTTCTCATTTTATATCTTTCTGATTTTAAGAATAACAAAAGAGATAAATACAGTTTAATTCGTGTTCGAACTTCGTTGCTAAAAATGTGGATAACATGCTATTATTGACTGTGTGCCCACATGAGTTCCTAAACCTGTGTTGAGAAATCCCATATTACATTTTCATTAGCCGCTCACTGCAAAAACTCATAGTAGCAGGTTCCAATGTGATGTCACGCGCGTATCCCACAAAGATTAACACAATATGATACTTTTCGTAACTTACACCAACATCCCAAAGAATTGTGGACCCATCAAGAGAACAAGAAGCCAGTAATTCTCCATTTGGAGAAAATTCCACCTGGTTAACACCATAGCGATGACCTTCCATTGGAGAACTTTCTGATTCATCAAAACGACCCTCCGCATTGCGAACCCAAAGGCGGACCATCTTGTCCCTACAAATAATATACACAATACAAATGAGACAGACTTTTATTCAAGAAATCGCTTAATTTACTCGCTCACTGTCATATGCTTCTTCCTTTTATACTGCACAGCCCACTCACCCTTCTGTAACCATGATCCAGCCATTCACTATCCGTCGACCGTCATTCAAGTCTCCCGACTATCCTTCTTTCCTACACACAGACCTGCCCCACCAAACTTTGGATTCTTGACATTACCTGGCCTGACTCTGCACCTCGCTTCCACCTACAGCTGGCAAATAAACGCGGATAATTTCTTCTCTCTCGGTCCAAATCCAGCTTCCCCATCTCTCTACCCCACTTGGAGAGTCCCTAATGGCACGGACTCATTCTTTGACTCTGACTGGCCAATTCCCCCTAGCACGCCCTTCCTCTGACTACATAAACTCTCCACTTTCCAGTACCATCACCCGAACTCTGAAAATGCTGATAATGATTTTCTTTGACATGTTGGTTATCTACCTACAAGTCTGCTTGGCATCACAACCTGGGAACAACACTGTCTTTTTACAATGTAATCTAGCCCCTCTTGTAATCTGTTTATCCAGATTTATTTTCTTAAATTTCACAAAAGTTATGAAGGACGTAGGTACTGACCCAGAGCCTGAGGCGATGAGACTACTGCTGTAGAAGGCACAAGTGTTCACAGCTCCACCATGTTCCTCCAGCCTCTGCAATATCTTGACAGTGTTCTCATCGACCTCTGCCTGCTTCACAACTTCCTGCTCCTGCAGGTTGCAGCACTGTACAAAAACATGGGTATTTCTCCACAGCTTGGACAAACAATTCACATGTAGACGGAACACTTCTTTTCACTCATCCATTGCAAACAAAGACAATAAACAAAACATTAGATAAAGGTACAGAGGAATAGTAAAAGTAAAGTTTGTCCCACTATACGCCATGTAGGCGTTTGGGGGGAGTGGAGGTATAGCTCCTCTCTTCCTTGACCTCGGCACTAGATGGGGGTGAGTGGTCAGCATCACGCCCCGGCCGGCTTTACCCCCGGGAAAGGACCCCGGTACCCATTGTAGAGGAGGCTGGGTGGGCCCCAGAGCCGGTCTGGACGCAGAGGCTAGAGGAAAAATCCTCTGCCCCCGTCGGGGATCGAACCCCGGTCATCCAGCCCGTAGCTAGTCACTATACTGACTGAGCTATCCCGGCTCATACAGAGGAATAGTAAGAAGTTGATTAATTCCAACAGACTACAGGAATAGAGCATGAAAGCACTTTTTTATACAACCCTCTCTTGTATCTACGTGAAAATAATTCAGAAAGTGGAGTAGTTTTAGTGTCAACTTACCTCTGAATTGTTATTGCAAAAGTGACTCGAGGCATTGCATGGTTTCACGAGCTCAGATTCCACACTCAGGTTCCTTCCAAGACTCCACACCATCACAGATTTGTCATTGGAGCCTTAAGGCAAATTCATATTTTTAATTTAAACAAAATGCCAATATAAATTAAATTTTAAAGAATTCCACTTAATAAATTTTCTGACAAGCACACTTTCGCCACCAAATAGCAATTACTTAAAATGTATTATGCCACATGTGTTTCACCAACATGGGGCTATCCCCACTGGTTCTACATTTGGTTCAACCTTACATGTTAAAACAAATCGTCCTAAAAACTGTCATGCACATCATGCAAAGACCACATGAAAATGCACAAAAGAAAACATAACTTCTACAACTACTCAGAAGTGAATCTGTATTTCGCATTGAATTTGACAAGCACTGTGCATTACGTTTATCTTCAAAAGATAGCAACACATTTTCACAGATGCTCTAAGAGCTAACAAAAAAGTGTATTACATTGTACAGGATGCTACACCCACGTCATCTGATCCGGACATCCGATTTTCTAACATACGAAGAAACAAATGACGCTATTGCTCACCTTAATATTTTAATAACTGTGTATAAAATTACAATTCATATATACAATCACTCTCAGGGACCATTTGTTGTGGCAGAATGTAAAACGTTTGTCCCACTACATGCCATACAGGCGTTTGGGGTGAGTGGAGGTATAGCTCCTCTCTTCCTTGACCTCGGCACTAGATGGGGGTGAGTGGTCAGCATCACGCCCCGGCCGGCTTTACCCCCGGGAAAAGAACCCCGGTACCCATTGTAGAGGAGGCTGGGTGGGCCTCAGAGCCGGTCTGGACGCAGAGGCTAGAGGAAAAATTCTCTGCCCCCGTCGGGGATCGAACCCCGGTCGTCCAGCCCGTAGCTAGTCACTATACTGACTGAGCTATCCCGGCTCATGCTGTCAGCTGGTACTGCTGCATACATGCAGAAGGCCGCGGCAAAGCACGCTGCCTGCGTCGCCATGACTACTTTGTCAAACAGGATGTGGTGGATACTGTAACATCTTCGCTACACAATACGTTCTGTAATGTCATTCCTTAACAGACATGGGACAAAAAAGTCTACTAAGAATGTGGAGGGAAAGGCCTTAATTAAACATTTTTCTCTACTTTGTTTCACCCTATAACAAACATTAACATCCTGCTATTATTCAATCTGAATGCATTATATTTCAAAATAATCACAGGTTAAATACGGTACTGTGATCTAACCTGCGAACCTAACCACAATTATTTATATTGTATTCATGGGAAATTTATTTACAACTGAAGAACAAAATTCACTGTGTATGCAATTATGTAACTTCCTGTATTTTGCAAAATCTGACATACTTTTCGACTAATTTCCATTCTACAACATTAAAGCTTATTAAATAAATTGTTATTGTCCAACGGAGGTTACTGAAATAACACTTCATTGTTTTATTGTCGTCTTCTTCAATTAAGTTGATTTACATACCTGAAGCCAACAGGGAACTGTCCCGGGAGAAGGCGCAACACGCGACGTACCTTGAATGACCCTCCAACACAGCGATGCAGTTACCACTGGTCTAGGAATAAATCAGACGAAGGGAAAATGTTAAAATATCGCTTCGTGTTTGTCATACGGCAAGCGGTTTGGTGGTCAGGCAAGGTCTACCATCACTTCCCATTTTATTCTTTGACAATTTTATTAAAGAAACAAGGTCGGTCAGAACCTGGAGTTGGTATTCACAGAACAACAAAACAGACTATCAGCCAACAAAGCTTGAATGCTAGTTTCTTACAGGTCTCTGTACACCGAGATAAGAAATAACTGTGTCAGTAACACATGAAAAGATATAATATGGCGCTAACCACATCTAATGTTAAAAATAAAAGTCATAAATAAGTCTGTCCAGTACAATCACATAAAAAACATAACCAGAGGAACTCCTGAAACATCGCGCATACACCCCAGACAACTTATAATGTCCAACATCACAATAATAAATTAACCATTATCACATAACTTCAAGGAATCAACATTTATGAAAATATACTGATATTTCTTAGTTTTCATAAACTTTTGGAAATTAAACTTTTGAAAGTAAACCACCATCATAAAACACATAATTAAATAACAACAACACTTATACATGAGAAAACTAAAACTAGGGAGGGAGAAATTACATGTGACAAAACTTCTTTTGTGTCAAAACTAGTACAGGAATGTATACACGATGAGAGTAATTACATGAGCAGTAGGATGAAATAAATAAATAAACAAACAAATAAATAAATAAATATGTGCATGCATGCACAAAGTTCCATACTTTTCATATATTTCATACATTTTTCTTCTGAATACCTTATTACATCCAATTATTCCCATTACAAAAAATAAAAGTCTATTAACTATGGTTCTGTCCATTTTCCAGGAATGTAGTCTGAAAATCTGACGAGGATATACGAACAGACTCATCATTGAACATAACGAATCAATCACCACCTCCCTCACGCTGTCATACCGCACTTATCCCAAATAACAAATAACTCACCTCCCAGAGCCTGAGAGTTTTGTCGAGGCTGGACGAAGCTAGGTAGCTGCCCCCTGGCGAGAACCGAACGCACATGATAGCCGACGTATGGCCCTCCAATATGCGGTAAACAGACAACTCGCATGGCGTCATATCAAGGTGCTTCACATATTGACCCACAAAAACATGCCATAACTTTACAATATTATCATTCCCACAAGTTGCTAACAGGTAGCGGTGCCTCAGTGAACCATCCTCATCTGTGAACAGAGACACAAGCTAGAAAATTACCTCTTCTACTTTGAAGACTGAGGTGGTAGATTTTTCCAAAACATCTGTAACCACAAGAAAGATTACGTGACTTCACAACCGAGAAGACCATAATCAAAACTACTAACTTAAAATATTGTAATTTTAAAAAATCATAAGTATTTAACTTTATAGTTCTAACAACAGTGTACAACTGAATCCACTTGAATACTTCTTCCTCACTGCAGTCCAGTTGACTGGATCCAAACTCAAAGCTATTAATATGTAGACGACATTTAATCAGTCCTTTCTTAAACTTGTAAACAAGCTTCTGCCATCTTTACAAAAAGTTTCAATCATCAGTCAGTGTTTGGTCACCTGATTTACGGAAACAAGTATTTTTTTATCAGCCTGTAACTTGCTTCAAAGCATTCAGGAAATACGGACAATCTTTTGCGAGGGCAAATTTTAGAAAACACCGAGAATTTCTGTTTCTAGACCTAGTGAAAGAGGCACAGCACTGTATTGGGGTTTGATAGCAACTGGGAACTAGATGTTCTGCACCAAGGACTCAATGCCCTGATGATGGAGACAGCAAGTACCTCTGAAATCTCAATAAACTTCTCCCAGACTCTTCAGTGCGAGAACCTCTCAATAAACTTCTACCAGACTCTTCAGTGCGAGAACCAGAAGACAGCCGTCTCCGATTTTACACATTTTCATCCCCTTTAATTCCAGTTTTTAAATAACTTAGAAATACTGATTATGTCGTGAGTTAATTAATTTTTTGTGAAAAGTTATTTCTTTAAAAGAGCGTACTAGCTACAGGCAGGATGGGAATCAGGTGGCCAGTCCTTACAGTGTTGTGAGTTTCTAACGTGTTCTTCCAGTCTTGGCTGCAGAAGCTCATGAGCTACCACTCACATACCAAGGAGCTCCTGAAGAGGTGAGAAGTCACTGCTCACAACACCTAGGTCATGTGCATCATCCACAGACGCAAGGCACGCTACAGCATCTCCGTTGCCTGTATCACTCCTACATGAGGCGTGCCAAACTTTCATGACGCCAAGCGTGCAGGTCGTCAAGAGGTAGTGTGAATCGGGCGTAAATGAGACGGACTGAACAGCACCTTCATGTTGCTGGAACATCCTGGAAAACATTCACACACCCTGAAGATGGCAGTCTTCTGGGTTGTAGTGTCATGTAATCTGGTATAAGCTTACCAATAATGGGGTCATTGCCCTGATGATGGAGGCAGCAAGAACCTCTGAAACAGTGGCAAATTTCTGCCACACTACATGACGCTACAACCCAGAAGACAGTCATCTTCAAACTCACTGCTGTGAAAACGTCAAATTCTACTTCGTCAGACATTCTGCTTAAGAACACCAAACAGAGTCCAGTGGCAATTAACGCAATCCAATTATCGGCGTAAAGAGTCATGTCATTCGTCTAGCTGTTGCTTCTACAGCTTTTTAATAGTCTTTTGAAAACATTACAGAAGAAGACTATCAGAATTCCTAATCAAGTGTTGTCTGCTGCATGTCAATATACTATCATAATGTCTCATACTGACATCAATATCAAATCCTTAAATGGTAACCCGAGCAACCTGTAGTGTAATTACGATAAAATATACAACTGTCGCGTTAAATGTTACACTACCCCAGTTTATTTTACTTTCGAAGGTACTTATAATGTGATAACGGTATAGATACGTTGGTATATAAGTTACCTGACAAGATTTCTATGAACTAAGTCCCACACACACACTGAACCATCATCTCCTGCTGTGACGAGAAGCGTCGAATCTGGCGTGAATCGGCAAGCTCTCACCGCCCCTCCACTAACCTGGATAAAAGTGTGGATCCGAACTCCAGACTAGGGAAAACCACAAATAACTCAGTTATATCATGGAGACCACAGACCGAAATGAACAAAATGCTGATATAAAAGTACGCTTTGCGCCAACTTGTCCGATACAAACTCTAAGACTGAAAATAAATAAATAAATAAATAAATTATTTTTAAAATAATTTCTGTTTATTATACTGTTCTCAATCATCTCTTGAAAGAGTTCTTAACACAATGTATGTGTGAAGTCTGGAATTTATATTTTAACACTAAGTTCCAGATACGGCAATAAATAAGTTAATATTAATTTTAAATATCACATTACACTGCATGTTAAAAATTATAAAAATAACTTTATTTTTAAAGAATTACTTTAATAAATTCTTCCTTCAACGTGTCATATTCAGGTATGGAGTCTTAAAATGTCAGCAGTATTCAGAACATATATATATATATATCAGATGCCATGACAATACGCTACATCAGACAACAGGTCAGTCAAACTTCTGTAGTTATGATACTTAAAAATAATCTACTAAGTGAGATTTCAGGTTCTCACAATTTTGAGTATGAGGACGAATGTCTTCTGGGTTGTTCTACCATACTACATGATGTGCAACAACCCAGAAGTCAGCCATCTTCATAATCTTCTACTGCAGGCTACTCCATTCACATTCCGGCACCTATAAACCTGGCCCCACACACCCTATCGGCATATTCATCGCCCTGATGACGGAGGCAGTATGACCTCTGAAATGTTGGTTAACATCGACCAGACTACACAGCGCAACAACATTATTTATACATTTACAAATAATTTCCATATAATTAAAAACAAATTAGATATTTGCTTTACCATTTTCTTCTAATCTAACAATACATTTGAATGCATAAATAACCAGTTACCTGTAAAGCAAAATTCAGGGTACCAGAGACCAACACTGGAAATATAAAGGACGTGATATAGATAACAAATGCAAGAATATATACAGAATAATTTAGAAAAGGTACAGACACAGGTAAAAGAAGAGTGCTTATAGAAAAACAGGGAAGAAATTTGTTGGGTCTGTACAAGTACCGTTGATAGTGGTCGTTTATATTCATTGTAATCTTACATTTGGGTGAATATGATATTATATACAGTTTGTTCCTTATAATAACATCAGATGCTTACACGGACATTCCAGAGCATGGTGCAGCCATCTATAGATGATGTTGCCAACATGGTCCCTTGTGGCGAGAATCGGATGCACGTCACGCCATATTTGTGGCCAGTCAGCGGAGAGTATGACATGTCTACGTACCCTTCCCCAACATTCCACTCCCATACTCGGACGGTTTTATCTCTGCAACATTCATTGTTTTTAGAAGTTGTGTTCTTCTCGTCTCATTGGTGGGACCATTCAATACAAACTTTACAGAAGGCAGCCTGGTTCAATAATTACACTAAATAACTATTAGATCGTCTAAAAATGCAATGTGAAATGGATGTTGCTTAGTACATCAGTGGTTATGAACTGAACACACATAGGGGAGGTATTCAATACCTGCATATTTCATGTTTAAAATTAATTAACAGATTTCAATCAATTTTGGTAGTGCAGGGGATTTACACTAAATGTTTTTTGGTTTAATTTAATTTTGGTACATACTTGTCCAATGTAACACCCACTTTTCATAAGGAACCAAGCAATCACACAATTATAAAAATAGATAAAACAGATCAAGTATTACCCAGTGATATATCACGGTGAGGAAAGTAGAGTAATTATAAATGTATTAAAAGAAAATAATACTGTACATAAATATGGCAACTAAGATTTCAAACAAACTGTCAAAATTTCTATCTAAATTTTAAGATATCTTGTCTACAGAATCAACAAATTTTAATACTGGAAGTGCAATCATGTGTAGTAAGTAAACATGTCTAGGCAGAACGTGAGTTTATGCCATGAAACATTAATTTTATTTCACTTACCCTGATCCTGATGCAAGGTAGAAATTCCCACCAAAATCACAGGATGTCACATCACTTGAGTGTGCCTGCAGAGTCTGCAGACTTTCAATGCTTTCACCAATCGACATCATTCTAATCATGTGGTTTGAAATTTGGAGATTTCTCTCCACAAACTACAAGGGCAGGGAACACATTCAGCAGTGTTTTAGGATGCAATAAACTGAAACACCAAAACCAAAAAAAATCGTGATTTGCATAACAGGAAATCTGATAAAAGCTCAAGAAGATAATTAACATCCTGCAATGGAGAAGGCAGCATAAAATATGCTATATACTATCGGTTGGACAAGTTCATAAATTGGGTGTTGGCTACATAAAACACTGTTATTAACAAGTAACAGTGATAAAAATACAAGACAAAAGTTGTAATTCACACACTGAACTTTATCTTAGATTTCAGAATGGTGATCAGATAAAAGGCATAATCTTCAGATCAAAGATTTACCATTGCACCACAGATGGAAGATAATATCACTGGCAAGGAAGGCACGTGAAAGGAATTTGATTTTGTTAGTTAATGTCTGCATGTATGTGTATCTCTACATGTACTAATCACTTCACACACTCAAAAATGTGCAACCCTTGTGGTATGACCAAGAAATGTAATTTACAGATTATTTAATTCATCACTTCCAGAAATTCATGGACTAATGCTGCTTATTGAGAGATATGCTGACGTGAAAGAAATCCCAGTGCCTTTTGTAGACGATATGTTAATCCTTGTGTACACAGTGGAGTCCAGCACTGTATTGAACGAAGATGCCAATTCCATTATAGGACACTAAATGACATTTCTCAAAACCGCAATAAATATATGCAATGTATTTAAAAAATACGCCTCCAGGGTTATGTACCTGTTATTTTAAATATTTACGAGTTATGAATCTATGTAAAATTGTAGAACACTACACACACTCCCTTCCCGTCCTTCGTTCGTATTCGTGATATCTCCGAGCGCAGATGATCCTATCGATTACCTAGTTTACACATTTCACACGCGAGGGCATCGTTGTTGTGATTAACTTTGCCATCTACAGAACAAACATAAAACTATTAAAGCACATACTGAACATTAAAACCACATGCATCATACGAAAACGGACCCTGCTAGAAAATAAAAGAATCGAGCTTTGCGCGCTTCGGCAACAGATCGGAAATGCGCACATGGACCCTTCCCTCTGCTGCATCTGTTACCTAACAAAAAATTTCAATCAAACTGTTATGAGACGTAACAGTTCAATCCATGACGGCGTGTAAAGTAACTTCCGGTTCTCAATATCAACTAAATACGACATAGTCAGTCATTGTGTTAAATATGAAAGAAGGTACACGAATATATTCCATATCCTTACCCCTCAACAAACTAGAAGTGGTTGTGACCAACAATTTCAATCACAAAAGTTATACGAGGTGCGATCGGAAGGTTTCGAGACTGAGCGTATAAAAACCCGTACACTTATCTCAGGTATTAAATTCATCCATCACCCTCGAAGTAGTTCCCCTGGGAGTGAACACAACGATCCCAGCGCCGCTGCCAAGCCTGGAAGCATCCCTGGAAATCTTTCTTTGTCAGCCTGTCAAGCACCATTTTGGGTGATGGATGAATTTAATACCTGAGATAAGTGTACGGGTTTTTATACGCGCAGTCTTGAAACTTTCCGATCGCACCTCGTAGATACCATAACCTTGGTTATCAACCTTCCTTCTCATTCCTTTCATTTCTACTTGCATTTTAGTTGCAATTTCTTTGACCGAGATTAAGAAAACGATGTATTTAATTAGATTTTGTGTGACAAAAGACATAAGGGAACCCTGAGAACGGGAATCAGCGTAACCGAGCACCCGGGATCTTAAAGGATTAGCTGATTGAAAATATTTTTATTTATTTGTGGTTTATTAATCGACGATCTTAGTAACTCATAACTCTGACTCTAACCTACATGCAGTCAAAATGACATGCTTATTGATGGATAATAAATTGGAACATGAGTTGGGTAACTCTGTCAGCAGAGTGCCTGAATACGAACTGGGCGATCGTGGTTCGATTCCGGCAGGGATAAAGGATTTACTTTCTAGTCTCTGCGTCCAAACCGGCTTAAGTTAAGGCACTATCCTGGCATTTGCATGGAAGAACTGACGAAAGACGTCCATTCTCTTGGTTGGAATTTTAAACCGCGACCCCTCGAATACAAAACAGGAGTGCCAACCACTCGGTTTAAATCCCAGATTGGTCACGCAGGGATTGTGACGTAATTAATCACTCATATACATGAGTTTACAGTTTGGTGAGAATTAACCAAAGTTTCCCATGTAAGCTTGTTAGGATTGAGGGCAATATATCATTTCGTGGTGTGTAATTTAGGATTCTTCACATATTGGTCGGAATCCTTTTATCATTAAAAGATAATACCAGTCGCATATCAGAAACTTCAATCAGGATGTACAACGTCTGAAAATTAAATAACTGGACTGATGTTATTGTGCGACTTGCAACAGGGACGAATTAGTGTGTCGTTAAATTCAGTTTCTTTCATGGTTACATGAAGTACTTGATTGCTGAGATAAATGCATTTGTTTATTTGGTCTACAACATGGGCTAGGGACAAATGAAATTCTGAGTAATCCAGTAACTTTCATTGTAATCTCGTAAAGAATTTAGTGGAATTGAAACGAATTGAAAAATTGACAGTGGAACCACTGTTCCGGAGAATCTGACGTAACTGCGCAAACGCAGTAGTAGCGGGAAGTGCGATGCGCCTTTGTTTGTATAAATAAATGTTTGTAGAACCTAAACCATTTGTGATATATAAAATCTGAAAACAGATATGGAAAGCTCAAGAGGTAATACGCATTTCGTTCGCAATATGTCCAGATCCATCTCTTACAGTTTTCGAGAGGCGGGCGCTTAACGTGATGAACAATAATAATAAATAGGAATCCCTAACCTCAAACTTTGTTTAATTGTAAGAGACCACGACGTCCACCCGCAATGACCAATTTAATCAAAACTAAAATGGAGAGAGTGGAGGACAATATCACAGATTTCTTAATAATTCTTATATAAGATAAGTACCTGTGATATTCTAAAACGTTTTTACCAGCACAAAATTATCTAGTCTACGACGCACTTCTTCTACAAGCGATTCACAGCTCAGCTCTTTCCGCAATAACGGTAACGCTGTTTTGAAGAATGACCCTTCCGTATAGACGTATTTACTTCAAAAAAAAATTAGGTCTACAATTCCTGTTGTACATGATATATTCGAAGCCTATTACAATTATGAACCCCACTTCCTCACAATTCAGAAATCTAGGCTTTATAACAATTCTTTTCCAAGCCAAAGTTTTACAAAAATTTGCCACAAAAATGTCTGCATGCTCTTAATATTTATCCATGCTACTCTCATGTACAGTCCATCGTATCCTCTTAGATGTAACTATCTTAACAACGGGGTAAACTAAGAAATGCGCACAAATCACAGAGTCCCTCTTTATGAAATATCATACATTTATCGCCCAATTATTTAATTATTCTTACATGAAATTCTTTTCCTCAACATTTCGTGTTCAGACTCGCGCCTTTTATGTTCTCTGAAATCGAGAAACTAAATTTCAACAACTCCATAGAATAGATCCCCTGTTCAGAAGCTAACAGTCACTCAGCTAGTCATAAAAATTCATCTCGTTTCATTGGACCGTGTCCACCAGGTCTCACTATCGGTTCTTAATTGAGCCATACAAATCCAGTCCACACCCTCCACTCAATTTAAGTTTCATCCATTTTAATATTATCCTCTGCAAGAACTTAGTAGATATAAGCCACTCTCGTGTTGTGAAAACTGTGTAAGCCTATTTGTTTCGCAAGTCAACTAATCCTCTTTATTGAACACTTCAGCAGTCTCGTATCGGGAGGCATTTCGTTCAGAAAATCTAGTAAAAGCCAACAGAAACATCAGAGCGTTTGATCGTGCGTGAAATTTGCAAAAGATCAGCCCTGTAAGTGTTCTTAAAACGGACAGTTATATGACGGTTAGAGTGTTTGGATTGTGGACAATGTCTATAGATTGAACACTTCATAATTTGTAACGTCACCCTGCATATGGACACGATCTCGTTTTAGCTCTGTTGCTCTTTCGAGAGATCGATTATCAACATTATATTATTCTGTGAACCAATCGACAAAATGCAATTTTTAACACTAAGTTAATTCTAGTGACATTACAACTCCAAATGTAGTTACGAGCTGAACATAAATGAAAATATTTAACAAATAAAGAGCACATTCCACATTGTTTTGAAAACAGTGGGTCCAATTATGATAAATTACATGTTACGTGATAGATTGTTTAGGTTGTCGGTTTAAGGCTAGTCGATTCAGCTACACTGGTTATTTGCGACTGTTTAATATATCAAAAAATTAAAACATACCTCATAATACAACTTGAAGTTGGATTTATCTTGACAGCGACATTTCATCCATACAAGATTAAGTGTCACACCGTCATGATTCGACACATCGTATTCACACGAAGGAGATTTCGGTGATCCAATACGTCGATAAGACCATCTTTCACCAGTAACAGAAAAGACTCGACTTTCTAACCCACAAGAACTTAACAAGTTTACTAAGGCTAAGTTTAATACATTTAATGTGTTTAACACTGAAAATAACCAGTGCATTTGAGTCGACTTTAAACCCATTAGCTAACCATCATGAAATGAGATGTCGCATTTGCCATTTATATGTTCTAATCTCCATATTATTTCCACACCCACGTTCCATCTTAACAACGAATGAAAATGTGCCCTGTATTCAAACATCCCTCCTCTCGGCACATTGTTCTCTCGTCTGAGCATCCCTCTTTAAGCAATAAACAATGTATCATATCCTTTTACCGAAATGAAGCCCTCTTACATATATATTCAAAACAAGCACATATATAATAACGCGATGTAACTATTGTCTGTTGTCTTAAAGCTCATTTTGTGCTCAATTATCTGCAAAGAGGATTTAAGGAGTCTAGCAAGCCTACACAGAACCAAAATGAGGTAGACTGAGCTCTTCAAAGCACAACGAAAGTACTAAATTACGTTAATAATTGAAATTGTAATGTTGTTCCTTATTCATGATGGAATTGGATGGCCAGATTTAAATTCCTC